TAATGGGACATAAGGAAAACGTGCAGAAATCTCTGGAATAAAAAAACAACAGCATTTAAAACCAGAAACCACTGCAGAAATCAGTCAGTTGATACCTAAGGGAGTTCTGTCTCCAGTAATCTTCCAGCTTCCTTTCCTCTGATTTATGGACTCTCTTCCTAAGTTATGTCAGGGCTGTGAGAAGTGGGGACTGAAGAAGGAGATGGAATTTCTCTATCATTATTTCTGGGGATGGTAAACATGGCATAGTTTTAATGTGTAGGGGTCATCTACTTGTTATAACATAGTATAGGTATAGCTTGCAGTATTGTCACATGCACACACACAGTGCAACCGAGGCACCGTGTAATAGAGTTCCTTAGAGAGAGGAAACTGGTTTGCTTAACAGACTCCTTGGGCATATCTACACATGACACTATGTCACCATAGCAATTCACTACAGCGATATAGCATCCACAGGTGTCTACACATGACCAGCAGCTGCTTCACCATAGTGGTGCACTCCCCCATTATAGTGCACCGCTACTGTGAAGTAGCTGCTAAAAATAACCATGCACTGCAGATATGGTGCAGTACAGGCAGTTACTGCACCATGCTTTACTACTTCCTTTTGAGAGTATTAAAGCATAGCACAGTAACAACATCACCATACGGCAATGTGTAGATGCACCCCTTGTCAGATAGCTATAAGGACTGATGCTGTTTGACTCCACATGAATCCAACAAGCTTTTCTTAGCCAGAAGTTGTCTTGGGGGTTTAGGACAGAAGGATCATTAGGATTCCCATTAGAGAACACCTTGGGGAGAAAGACGTGGATGTCAAGGGTGATGGAAGACTTCCAGAATTCTCTGTGATTCAGCTCTTCAAAAGAGAGAGCACAAGGGTTTCCCTATTGTAAAGGGAGATTGGTGTTGTTGTTTTTTTAAACTACGCTCTACCCCCAGTTTTCTATATACATAATTTGGGGGTGAGTGTGGGTTACTACTAAGTGTTTTGTTGCTACATGATATATATAAACTATTGGTCTTTGATCCTCCCGAGGATTGGCATAACAGTTTTAAATGAAGGCAGTGAAGTGTTCCCTTCCTGGCTCAGTTCTCATTACAGAAATGCCAGATAAATGGGAATGATTTGCTCAGCAATCAAGGAGCACAGAAACCAAGCTACCATGGACTGGATTACATCCCTTCAGTACACATTGAAAGCCACTGGTGTGAAAATGTTTGTATTATACAGATGTTTCCACTGTGGCTGGCTAGGAGGAAAAATGTGCTACTTATTTCTAATGCTGTCAAACTCAAATTTCCTAATTTTGGTGGTGTACGCATCAAAAATAGTTGCTGAAAACTGATATTCAGCAAAAGGATTCAGGCAATCTTAGCTTTCATGCTTTTTCTATATCACAGAGTATGAGACAAGATGGTTAGAAGAAATTCAGGGAACTCTTCTGATAGTTTTTACTCTGTACTGTATATGTTGCTGTTGTAGTCTAGACATGGATACAGTCTTCAAACTTCCTATTTTAGGGATAGATCATATGTAGCTATTAATGTTGATGAGCCTTGACTCATCAAGATTAATCCCAGAGTGGTTTTGTTTGAGTGGATGTCCAATATGAATAAGTATTGCACAATCTAGCATTTTAGACTGCAGACAGAAGTTACATATACACCAGTTTAAGTGATCAGAAACGTGTTTAAACCTGTAAGAAAACAGAAGTTCAGTGCAGATCAACCAGTTTCAAAATGGCTGAACCTGGCTTAGGATAAACCTGATTGAATGTAGTGTCAGATGTAACTGATTTAGGTCAAACTGGTTTACAGAATTTCTGTCCCAGACCCCTTCCTGTTTCAAGTCAAATCAGAGTCTCCCAGCATGCTTTGCAGCCTTGGGCTGTGCTGTGCTGTCTACTCCAGAGAGCAGGGTTGGCCCCACCCCTCTGTTCCCTAGCTGGAGCAGTGAGGACTAGCTCACTGGCCTCACTGGCCCTGCAAGACAAACCGTGGCTGGGGTCTGAGGCCAGGGAGGGGGGTTAAATTTACCTTCCCCCAAGTACAGAGCTGCCATGCCCTGCTGGCTTACTTAGTGCTGGCTGCAACTGGACTACAAATCCCAGAGGCACCTAGAAGCAGGAAGAGGAAGTGATGAGCAACCCTGCAGAGTCATGCTGCTATGATTGTAGACTGCACATCCTAAAGGCCTCAGGAGCAGCAGGAAGAGGCACAGCCCGTGCTGGCTACGTATCAGAGAGCCATGCTCTAGCATCCCCTGGCTTCTGGCTTGAGCCACTGCAGGCATGTGGTTGCATTTCCTGAATCAAACTTGAATGCCTGTTCATTTGCTTATTGGTTCAGTCTTTGCAACTTAGACTAACCTGCAAAGACTGAACCAATTCAACCTTGGGGTTTTTGACTGTCTGTACTTAGTCTTAATGACTGTCAGAGCACTAAGGTGACATTTATCTGGTTGTACATTTCAGAGTAATGTTCATAGGAAGATATTGACTTTTATCTTTTACCCATCAGGATGTAACTTCATATGGGTAAATTTTATTCTGTAGCCTGTAGGTATGTGCCAGTAAGAGTAAACTTGTAACATGGAGCAGCCTCTTGGGCACAAAGAGCTGTTTAACAGTACAACTCCCAAGCTCTTACTGCTTCTTTTTTTACTCTGGTTTCTGCTTTTACTTGTTCTTCTGGTTTGGTAGTTACTATTGCACCTTATGCTGTCAAGTGTCAGCACTCTGCAGAAACTTCTAGATTCTCTTGTACTCATAGGTTGCATCAATGTTTATTTTCTATGATTCCAGTAGGATACAGATATTTCACTTTCTCTCCTGATAGGTATATTTCCATGTGCCTTTTAAGTGTGCTGTTGATTCTGTAAAATTATTTAGAAATGTATATGTGATCTTCATATATTACTCTCTCTTCTTCTTACCTTAGCTTTTCTCTGTGTTTTAAAATACTAGCTAATTATGAACAATTACCTTTCTCTCCCAGTATCTTCTCTTAAGCTATATTTTATTTTGAAATTAGCTAATTACAGATTTCCATGGTTAGGCTGATGATTACATTATTTTTAGAAACAACTAAAACTGTCCCTGTAGGTTACATCAGTTAACTTTTGTCTCTAGAATTGCAAATATTAGCCAAATAGTGACCATTTTATCTTAACCACAATTCTTTTGGAATCCCATTCGTTAAGCTTCTATGGATTGACAGAGCAGTAAAAGTGAAGCAAGCATTGTAAATTGTGTAATGGTTGTAATTATCTGAATATTGATTGTGGTGTTATGGTTACATGTTGTGAAGTTATGAGTGGGAGGCAGGTAGAGCACAAAGATTCTCAAAGCCAGCTTTAATTTTTATATTTCAGTTTTTCATTTTTGAGAGAGAGAACAGAAACCTTGCCCTTGTTTAGAGCTGATGTATTTGTACCTAGTACAGTTGGGGAATTCTTCTTTCCCTATGACAAGAGTTCCCCAAACTGAAGGCCGAATTATGCAGAATAATGCATTGATTTAATGCAATTTAAATTTTAAGGCCAGATTGTACTGCGTTTTCATGTGCATTATGCAAAAATCTGAGAGTGGTGGATAATTACAGACAGATTAAAGCCAAGGAAAACTTTGTAATGTTTAAACTGACATTTGTTAGAGTAAAATTTATTAATTGACTTTCAGATTTCATTTATAAAGTTCCTTTTCACTGTTGTAATAACATACTCTCACATGTGTAAAATCAGCAGATTAAGGAATTCATTTTCCAATCAGAGAGTATAGGGCACCCATCACTTATTATAGGAGCACTATATACACAGTTCTACATTACAGCAGCCTCTGGGTTATGGCTTATAAGAAATTGTAGAAATAAAAGGTGTAAAGGGCTCCCTTTCACTTTGCCCCCTCACTGGAGTAGATTCCATTTTTCTCCAGCTAGTTTCTCCACACAGCTTATAAATTAACCATAACAGGAAAGCTGATGTATAAATATCTTTTGCAGTGTTTCACAGCCATGCTTTTTCACATCTTGCAAAACTAGATCATAAACATGCTTAGAACATCAGTGTTGGTATTTTTTAAATTGCAGTGTATTTGGTCAGTAATTTCATAATGCTAATACTGTTTCCCTTTTTATTAATAACTTACAGGAAATATGTTTGGTATTTTTAAAAGATGTTTGTGAAGCTTGAGAATATATATGGAAAAGAAATTGAATGAGTTAACATGCCACACAATATACCCATTGATTCATTTGCATCAATTGTTGTATCCCACTACAGGCAGAGAATTCAGCGTTGGCTCTGGAAAATGAAAATCAAAGACAACAGTATGAAAGGTGCCTTGATGAGGTAAGCTAAATGGAAAGGTCTTATGACATAGCACCTTAATACTAGGGTTCCCTCTGTCACTCACAAAGTTTACATTTATTCTTCAGTTTCTCATTATCTCAATCTAATGAGATTATTATCTCATTAGAAATTATCTCCATCTAATGAGATAATTGCCCAGTGGCATCTCATAACGTCATACTTAGCACTACCAGTGCAGGGCACGCTTTTTTGACCTTGCCTTCTCTAGCATAAACACTCTTGGCCTGAGAAGCTAGCCAAAATGTCAGGCTTTACAGGTTTATATTTCATTAGGGGAAGAAAATGACCCCACAGGTCAGGGGTATGTTTAGTGTACTCTGGTATTTATAGAGATCTAGACAAACAACAGCAAGTGATTTACTTGTTCAGAAATCCCAAACCCTATCTTTCTTTCATGTTCCAGACCAAAAGCACTGTGTCTCCACAAATGCACAACTGCTTTCCCCACTGCCTGTTCTCTTTCTCACCATCAGCACACGACACTTGACCAATGAACCTCTAGCTGCAATACTTGCAATCAGGAGACTCCCTCCCTCCCAGTCTGTGTGGCTTAGCTTCTGATTAGGGCTTGCCATTTAAAATTAGAGAGTGCAATTCACTCATCAATTATTACATGACTGCGACGCACATTGTAGCGGCCTCTGGCTCAGGGTTTATAAGGCCTTAGCATTGGTTTCCATTGTTTCCAGCTATCACTATAAAAAGGTCCAAAAGAAAGGTGTATCTTATACATTAAAGCCAAGGAAGAAAAATAATTGATATCAGATGCTGCTAACATGAAGAGGACACCATCATTTTGTCCTGGCAGCATCCCCATGTGCAGGGGCGTGCACTTGCAGTGGCACAGAAAGTAGCGGCACAACTGTTTGCTGCTGCACATGCCCCTGCACCTGTGCTGTGGTGCAGGGCATAATGCCTCACTCTGTGCAAACTGCTCTTTCCCCACTGCTCCCAGCCCATGTCATGCTGGAGGAGCTGGGGTGGACCTAGAAGAGAGTGGACATTCTGGCCAGCAGCCAGAGAGTCTCCCTGGGGCCTCCACTTGAGGTTTGAGGCACCGCAAACCACACATATGCACTGATCTGGGTACACCCTAGGTGTCTGATAAAACCCGAAGATGCTGGGGGAGTTGGCAGCTCCAGGTATGAAATAATAAGGAAGAGAACGTGTGGCAGTACAGACCAGCAGCTGTTGCACAGGTCCCGTGTATGCTGGGACCTCAAAGGGCCACTGAAGAAGGGGGCTGTAGTGACCCACCTTCTCTTCTGCCATCCTTCCCTGTGCTTCCCCTCCAACCCCTTTGTCTCAGTCCTTCAAGAAATGC